CGTTTGTCTGGACTAACAGGCTCCCTGTTACTACTAATGCAAGGAAAGCAGAGAAGGAGCGAAACCAAGGGGAGGAGGGCAACCTTAAAAGGGAGATCAATGGAGGGATGTTGACTCAGTGCAGGCAGATGCCCAGTCTTAATTAACATGGTTATGTCCTCAGCCATGACCTCACACAGGAAGGGAAAGCGACAACTGTACAGGAAGTGGAATCCGAGCGAGACACATTAGACAAAGATGAGGTCATTACCATCAGAGCCAACTGTTCTATCTGATGAAGAATAGTTTGAAATCTGAAGGAAGAAATGCTGATATCTGAGATATGACATCAATCAACAAGCTGCATCCTGCTTATAACAATAAGGCTCTAAATCAACAATTACACATTTCTCAAAAAAAACTTGACTGTCCCTTAACACTGACAAATTGGAAAATGTTGTTCTCTCTTTTTTGTTTAGTTTGAAACTCATATAATGTTCATTATATTATATTTAAAACAGCAATCACATGTTGTGTGTCCACTGAGAGTGCGAGTACACAACCACTATTCCAACGTTAAAACCGTCCATATCATTATTATATAATGTATTTCTGCTAAAGTGTCTTAAGCAGATTCAATATTTATACCAGTTGTCAAGGTTTGATTTAGTTCACGTTTATTAAGATTAAAAGTAAGTCAGTATTGTTGGTTTCTTTTGCTGGGTGATTTTGTAGTTCCTCAAAGCTTCAGATTTTTATTTTTTGCTACAGCTAAAAAAATGTGTGTGTATTTTTAACAAAAACAGCGTAGTGTGGATGTAGGCCAACGCTAAGCCCATTTAACTTCTTTTGGAACAAATTTGAGTCTATGAAGTGTATATCTGTGTGTGTGTGTGTAGATATTTTGAGCAAAAACTGTTTTATTTCATTCTGAAACACATGTGGCAGAGTGGGGGAGAGCCCACCTTTGGGAGGTGGGCTCCCCCCCCCTCCCCCCCACCTGCCAGCTCTGAAACATCAGATAAGAGCCACAGCCTTCAGGCCAATGTTTATCTCTCTGACTGCAGCCTGTGTTTGAATGCTCTGTTGGTGCTGACAAATCTGCAGTTCCACCTTACAGTTCCGCTCCCTGAGAGGAGCACACAGAGGTGTGCTGTCCGCCTTATCAACACTACATGGTCTTCCTCCAGCCTGGTCCTGATAGCAGCACATGTGAGGCTGCTGCTATCAACAGGGTGGCACTTAGAAGAACCCAACAATACCAGCTCTTTGTCATACAGGGTCAGCTTGACAAGCTTTTCTCAAAACACAGAGAGTCGGAAGCATTGGAGACAGATGTAAGCACACATTGGTTCTTATGTTCGTCCTTTAAACTCCTGACGTCTGTTATGGCCTCACTTACTCCACTGAACAAAGGAGCTTCCAGCAACCACTCTCTAAAACCTCCATTAAATCTGCCTTTAACTTGCACCACCTCATGGAGAGACATATGTCTATGTGTGGTCCTTTGTCATGATAATTCTGAAAGGGGAAATATATAGTCACTCAGAGCCCCCCCAGCCAATCTGCTGTGGGTGGGCAGGACACCATTAGCAATCCAATATAAGACAGGAGGTGGTGGTGGTCTGCCTTTCACTCTCACCTGCTGAGCTGTGTGACAAAGCAATAAAAAAAAATCCTTGTTGTCTTTCAAAGGATACTGAGGAGGACGGGGGAGACCCTAGAACCTAGGAGGAATCTCATAGTTGAAATTTGTAGAATGTTTTTTTACGGCATGTATAATGTTGAAAGCTTTGTTATGGATTTGTTATACAAATGTCAGACTCATAAATCCTACAGAAATACACCAAGCCCATTCACCAAGATTGGATATTTCATAAGTTGGTAATACATCAGGGGGGTCTTACTCACTAACCCCCACTGATCAATAGTGTTATGTCACTGAGAGTCATTTAATTACCTCATATTCCTTAATAATTAAAAGAGGTCACTGGATCCTCGGGTGGATGACCAGGATAACGATGATGATGACTTTCCAACAGTAAAATTCCAGGCGTATTAATAGTTAAATGAGAAACTGTTGAGCTTGGGTAGTTACACAGCACTTTAAGTGGTAAAAACATTCAATGAATGAAGTGGACTGTGACTGTGTCCTTTGACAGGACAGTCGGCCTCCATTAAAGACTGCGGTTCACTCCCAGGGTCTGGAGTGTAAACATGAGCTGATGTGGGCCATGGGCCTTTTTACTGATGTGTTTTAATTTGATTGTGATTCAGCCCAGAGGCAGAGATGGCTTTTCATAATGACTATAATAAAAACCACTCTTTACACAGAGCCTGACTAAAACCTCTCTCTATGAAGATACTTATTAAGATAAGGGCTCCTTATCACACACACAGGCACACAGACAAATCTGTCAGAGGATATATATATATATATATATAAAAGCCCGCACAAAGGGAACCAGGGTATAATGCTTATGGTTGTCAACAACAGAGGAATGTGTGGTGTGCCTGTATATGTGTGTGTTCTGAAAGACGTGTAATGAGAAATGTGATTCTAAATTTCACAACCACATGGAATTTTCTTTTCTTGATGTGGCTGAGATAGATTTACACATCAATGATTTAATCTCTTTTATTTAAAGCTGTTGCAACAACAATAAGGTGACATCAATGGGTGTTTCTTAACACTGGATCAGAGACGGAGATAACTGAGGATGTGAAATTAAAGGGGTAGGAAGAATAGATAAAACAGGCAGAGATAATGAGAGCAACGCATTAGAGGTTATTATAATCAAACAGCCAAGACTAAAGATCTTAAAGAAGAAAAATAATCATAAGGGGGAGAAAAAAGTGCCACTAGAGGGCAGCAGAGTATCTGTGCACGGTTCTCCGTTGACAGAGAGCTGGAGAAATTCCACAGTTTTAAACAAAATCACGCTCTTTCACATATCACTGTCTGTTTAAACGCAGCAGATTGTGCAAACGTTCTCCTGCTGTTCTCGTCGTGTTATGGATCAACTCGTTCTCACAGGTGCACACAATATGTTTGTGCATTTAGTGCCAACTGAAGCATCCAGCTGGATGCCTGTGCTCCTCACAGGCATAACTGAAGCATCCAGCTGGATGCCTGTGAGGAGCTAAAGCCTCAGCCACACACTGCTGTGACGTTTGTTGATCTCTCAGATAATTCAGAACATGGTCTCATCTGTAGTTGTTGTTGTGGTCACTTTGTGTTTGCTTGTTTTCAATCACAAAAAGGCAGTTTTTAAAAAAAAAAATTGGCTGCAGCTTGTCAACTTCTACATGGCATTCCCATTACACAATAAATGAAGAGAACATTCCTGCAGAAAACAGGCTACTTATTTCAAATATACATTTGAAATAAGTAAGAAAGGTAATTTCCATCACCAGCAAATGAAACAGGCAGAGAGAGAGAGGAAGAGAGAGCACATTTTTTATATCAGCCCACTCCCTCAGAAACTGAACAGGATTATTGTCCGATTCTTGCAACTGTGGGAGGTGAAAGTGTTTCATTCCCCCATGATATACAGTAGCTCCAGAAAAACCCTGTTTAACCTTGCGTTTTATCGGTGTGAAGTGTAGGTTAATACAAAAATAGCCTAAATGTCACATGTAAAAACAATAATAATAAAAAACTGTTCAGTAAAGAGTTGTCAGAGCCTAAGAACCTTTATTATATCTGACTAAAACCACTGAGCTGACTGGCACCAAGTGTCTATGGTTGAAAAAAAACTGACAGTGAGACCAGGCAATTTTTCTGGTCCTCAGCCCATCCTCCATTTCTGTCAGTCCAGTCTCAGGGGCGCAGCCCAGCAGAAGCAGCAGAGAAATGAGGACGATCATACAGGGCAATTAAAAGAACATCCAACATTCCTGGCCTGCAGGAAAGAATATCTATTCCTGGATTTGTCCGTTTATTTTTTTAATTCTAAAGAGGAGCAATTACACTGAAGGACAATTGACTTAAAGACACATCAGACAGCGCTACTGGAGTTGTCTTTTTCATTCACATTGTCCACACATTTAATTTCATTTAATAAAGACTATTCTATTCTATTCTATTCAGGACTGGGGGACCATGAAATGGACTGACATGTTTGTGCACACACTATTAGCAGTATCAAGTTTGTGTATCTGAATGTTATATCAGCATCACTGCAGCTCACTGAAGGTCAAAGGTCAACCCAGCTGAGGCTGTCAACCACGGCAGCAGCATCAGCACCGCAGGGATGTAGAGGAGCGAGGGTAAGGAGGACGTAAGAAGACGAAAGAAGAGAAAGTCACGGAAAAGAGGTCAGTGAGAAAAACCGTGATGGGACATGAACATAAACGGCACCAGCAGCAGACTCGTGCCGACTCCACTGCCAGGGGCCTCTCTTATCTTCTACTCACGCGACCATCATCAAACTGGACTCAGCTTGGCTCATGGACAATAGAGCAGTGGGCACTCCAGTGACTCTGAGTCATGCTTACTGTAAAGACACACTCCAAGCCTCCACTTTCTGGCTCACTTACACACACACTCACACACGGACACACACACAGACACCTTCTAGCTGTGCACTGCCTTACATGGCATTAAAACAATCCCTCTTGCTATTGCAGCAGTTAGCGTGGGGTTGCTAAGTGCAGCCAATATTCCACCAACACAACAAAGCAGACACGCTGACACTGACTGTGCCGATGTCCTTCCTGGACAGCAGAGACACAGACGGCTGCATCACTTTCCAGGAGCTCACTGAGTTTGCCTTTGTCCTGGTCTTATGCTTCACTCTGCTCAGGGGACTATGTTTATTCTGACAGTATACTTGGATTCAAGTAAGATATTTATACAATCTGCTGAGACCAATACAAAACAATATTAAATCAGGAGTAAACAACAAATATTAGCGACGGTATTAGCGCTCCTCTTCATTGAGTACTAAAAGATAACTCCTTGTTACATGTAGCTTGAGTGCTGGAGACCATACAGTGTAGCTATTAGAACAGAATACCTGTGTGTTGACTCCAGCCTCTGAACCTGGAACCTTACTTCTTGCTGATCTTGGAACCACCTGCTGGCCGTGAGACTTTAACGCTGCTGGAGGCAGAGCTAGAGCAGACGGCCTGGTTGGAGTCTGTGGAATCGGCAGAGCACTGTGCACCGGTTTGGGTTTGGGGAGTCCTGACTTCATGTTTGTGGCCACCAGGATGGCTGGCATCTTCTTCCCAGCTGCCTGATGACCACAATCTCCCCTCCCTGTCAGTCTAAGAGGGAAATCCTTCTACGAGTCACTTGTCTTTGACTTCTATATATCCTGATGTTCTTCTGTCAATCTGACAGTGATACTAGTTCAAAAGACACATGAGGCTTCCACCTGCATCCTTGCACTTGAGTGAATTGACGTGTGAATGTCAGAAAGCTGGCTGTCAGCAGGGCTGGGAGCAGAGCTCCACAACATCCACTGAAGATCTCATCAGGAAGACGCCAGAAACCAGGAGCTTTTTACGTCCGAGACAAAAAAAATGATCGAGGAAAAATCCCACTTGCTTCACAGCAAAGCCAATGCCTCCTTCAATGGATTTCCAGCTCTGTGTGGAGCATTAATTGGTTGAAGCTCTGGTAAAGCGCAGAGGACTTTCTCTCCCACAGAGCTCCATTCATCACATTGCTGCTTTATGATGACAGAAGGAAAAGCCCGAGCTCCATCAATGAGAGCAGAGGAGAACGGCAGCAAACAACAGGCACCGAGAAAAAAGGAAAAAGGAAGCAGCGACACGACACAGCGACCATTCGCCTGAGCGTCTGCTCAGCCTGTGAGAGTACAGCCAGAAAACACAGTGCACTCTGCTGCCTCCCTCTGCCTCTCTCTGCCTCTCTCTCCCCCTCTGGTAAGTCATGGTTAGCAGCAGGTGTGGCTTGGATCAGAGCTGACATATGTGGAAAAAAAGCTGCACACATTCACTGAGAATATTCCTGCAGCCCTCCATGGTCTTACGTTTGTATTTTAAAGCCTGTGTTTTTAAAGATGTTTTACTGTACCAAAGGAATTTTTATGAATGAATGGTTAAAAAAGGCATTTTAAAAAATGCAGAGGCACAACACTCGTCTGGTTGGTTGTTTTTTGAACATCGACCAATAGCTGCAGAGTCGAGGGAAATGTACTGTACATGAATGTCAGACTAGTTAACATCTGATGCATTCAGTCTCAAATGATAATACAATACAAAACATATAGTCGTTTTTTAAGGGCTCACCACGCCCTGGTGGATGGCACATGTTTGGTAGACAAACAAGAACAGTGTTGGAAAATGAAGCACAAAAAGAGAAAACTGAGAAAATAAAATGTCATTACATGAGTTTTGGCTCATTCTGTAAGACAGAGGTTACCTGTCTTTAAAATGTATCAAATCACATAAGAGTGGTAGATAGAAGTTCCAGGTCTGTCATCAAAGGTAGTTGAGCTGTTGTAGTAGAATTGTCTTGCTATTTATGGAGGTGCATCTGCGGGATTCAAAGTTTACATCCTTCTTGTCTTACATTCTTGTCCTCAGTTATGAAGCTCTTTCTTCACACCCAGAGTGATGGCCAATTAGTGGGCTACAGTCAGATCAGCCAAACTCCCAGCAGGCTTAGCGAGAGCTCCTGGCCCAGATTAGGCCACAGAACCGAAAAAAGTAAAACACAGTTTGCCTTTCCCCCTTCCCTTCTTTATTCCCTTATAAGTCGTTGGAAAACATAGACTGTAAGTACCTGACATTATAGTGTATTTGTGTTTTATTGTAACAGTATATTATTATTTAAAGGTCACGGACACCCACTAATGTTTTGATGCTCTGTAGTTTGTCTCCTGAATTTAGTGTGGACAATTTTCAAAACTGTTTCCATGTCTCCTGTGACACAGACAGACATTTTCAACTCCAAAACCTAAATTTAGAAGTTTAGAATTTAGAAGTAGAAGGAAGTAAGTGGACGTAAATTTGAATTTCATTCTGTAACTATTTCTTTCCTTGTTTAATTGTAAAAACAATTGATATTCCTTGGGAGGTTTTCAACATTCCAGACGTCAGAATCACAAATGTCTCTGGACTCTTAGCACCAAAAAAACCTGAGTGACAGCTAGATGTGCACTGTAGGTGAGAAAATGTTTGACATTAGCCAAAGACAAGGAGGGTTACCTTCTGGATATTGAAAGTCTGTGGTAAAAAAAAACAATCTTTCTTATTGTTTAGATCAATATTGTCATGAAGGGAATGAGGGATAAAGGAAGATCGAGGCATCATTTGGCTGTGGTGACAAATAACGGCAGAAAATATCAATAAGTCATTAAATATCAGACAAACACTCGTCCTCCATGTTGAAAATGTCAATTCATTTCATCTGCACTTGATGAGAAGTACTGATGGACAAAGAAAATCCCCCCGACACACATATGCTTGTGTACATTCAAACACAGCAACACGTCATCTAAGAGGGTACATGTTCATGTTAATCCTGTTAGATTAATCCTGAATTATGTAAATACTTTCAATGTCCATTAGACGGAGAACAATTTAAACCTTCCACTCGATTAAAGAATGTTCTGGAAAGAGCTGCTCTGTATCTGGATGTTTGTTGCCAGTTTATGTTAGAACCTGATCTGCTTCTTATTCTGTGTTTGAAACATTTGCACATTGTTTCAGTTTTCTCTCAACATTCCACAATCTGTTCTGCACCTGATGTATCGTTGTTGACCGGTACTATCATACGACACGCACACATTACACTGACCACTGGCAGAATGCCACACGTTACATTACAGTGTAGACCTGGCCGGCCGATGATAGTTGATGACTCGGATCACAGCTTTTTCACCTCATTCTGGTACCAACCACTTTGGAGGTGGAAGAGTAAAAACCACAAGCTGCTGCCCAATTGAAAACACACCCCTGTCCGAACATAAAAAAAACACACACACACAACAGAGCTCTTTGAATCCTATAGAAAAACACGTAAATCTTTGCCGGCCAAAACACAGATGTTATTCTGTGATTTGGAAAAGGGAAAAGAGAAACGAAAACATATCGAGCTTAGCATAACAAGGGGAAACTTTCATTATTTTCCTACAACCCCTGTAATTGTAAACATGTCAGGGATAGATCAGAGCGCGGCACTTCACAGCACAGAGGGAGGGGAAAAAAATCTGCCACATGTGATTTATGCTGCAGCGTTTGAAGATACCTGATGACAGTCCAGAGCAGTCTAATAATAGAGCCGGTTCGGGCTGTAAATGGGCAGGATGGGCAGTAATAAGTAGGACGCCCACTGCCTCGCTCTGCTGTAAGTTTACACTGTGTTTCTTCTTAGAATAACAAACAGTCGTGTGGGGTAGATGGTGGGTGTCAGCTGGGAGCTGTGCAGCTACGGAGGAAGATTAATGTCAATAACATAAGCTACCAATCCGTCAGAGCCAGTGTGTACGTGCCCCTGTGAATTCACACTCTGGACACACTTTAGAAATTCTCTGTAAAAATTAGATTCAAGCACAAGAGCAGGAGGATTAGAAAAACTGAGCTCCTGTTAACGACATGACAAAAGAGTGTCTTGACAAATCCTCAGGTCATCACAGAACTCTAAAGAACAGGCTCTCACGGAGCTCAGTTGTAAGTGACTTTGGATACAAGCGTTCTCAAAAGCAAAAATGTAAATGATCAGTTTAAACACCGTAGTCATTGGTCCTCGCCCCGACACAGATCTCAGATACTGTATGTGACTGTGGTATATTCAATGTTGAAATTCAAATCAGTTTTAGTGGACGGATTACCGTGCAACCACACACATGCACACACACGTGTACACGAACCCTTTCCTATGCTGATGGTTTTCATTAGCAGAGTTAGCAGAGCGGAACAAGTGGGCTCCATCTGACAAGGTGCTGCGCTAACTGGAGCGATGACCTGACATTTCCACTGTGACAGCACAGGATCTACAACTTGACCTACACACTGGTCTACTGGACACACACACACACACAGACACTTGCATACTACATTCCAGTGGCAGGGCTGTGGGGCTGTGTCACAGTGGGGAGGGAGCAGAGTCCACGCAGAGCTGCCCTGGCCTGGCGAGAACGATGCTGGAGCACAACGACACACTGACCATGTCAGGAAACAGACTACCACACACTTACTGTGTTATCAACACAAACCAGCCCCGGAGAATGGGTGGGAGGAGGAGGAGGAGGACGAGGAGGAGGAGGAGCAGTGAACAAGTGGTGTTTGCTCATGAAACATGAAATCAAACAGAGATCCAGACACAGAGATACAGAGAGAGGGATTCCCGCTGAGCGTTCGTGTTCTTCCTGCTCCAGCTGTGGGACCTGTGTGTGTGTGTGTGTGTGTTTGCTGCACTGAGGGGCATCCTGTTATACCACAGTTGTAGTTGGAAAAATCTTTCCATTCTCTCACACACTCCTACTGTTATTCTGCCATTCCTGAGTCTGTGTTAAATAGTAGTACACTCTACAGTACTGAGACATTTGTTCAAGAAATCACGCGTTTGTTTGTTTCAGTTTAGGCCAAAACAAGACACATTTATTAAGCAAATAATAAAATAATCCCATTTTACACCTCTGAGTGTTTAAGAGTGTGTATATGTGTAGAATAACAATAATAGTCCTTATAATTAACCGGCACAATTCAAGCATAACCTGACCATTTAATACTCATTAGCTGAAATCATATTCAGATGGAAACAGATGATGTTGTAATGTTTTCCAACTGATGTAAAACACCCATGGTTCATAGCAACTCTTCCTGTGTGAACAATTTAAAATTAAAATCTTAAGCAGTTGAAGACAGAGGTAAATATTTGATGAAGGTCAACGTAGAGGACACAGGATGTGATTCACTGAGGCCTCACATCATTGCTGATGTTAGACGTCATTTCAAATGCTATGTATGAAATGAATCAATATTAGCAGAGTTGACCTCCTTTATGTCTTCTCTGTTAAAAAAAATCTTCTTCTGCCAAGAGTGACTGTGTGGCCTGAATATTCAAGATCCAAACCAAGAAAGCCTTAAACTCCAGCTACATCGGACTTGATTCCTTAATAGAGATGGAGAAAGATCGATGTGGGGGAGATAAAAAAAAAAAAGTATCATGTAACAGGGCTGCAATAAACCAGCTGGTGTAATGTGAGCCCCGGGGCTTAAAGAGCAATTATCCCCAAACTGCTGTGACACAGAAACACTTACTGCTTTTTTCAGTGACAAAATGGGACAGACATGGAGAGAGTGAGGTGGAGGTGGTCGGAGAAACAGAGGAGAGGTGGGAAAATAAGTACGAGTGATGATCAGAAAAAGGAATAAAAACCATATTATTTTGACTGTATCTCTTCTTAGTGGTCCAGTGAATCATTACACAGTATTTTCCTTATAATGCATCAATTCGCTCTGTATTTTTATAACAGGGCGTGTACACACTGGGAGAATGAGGTTCTTGGTGCTGCAGGTCATTTCCTCCCCATGAACTTAGATACACGGCAGGTGAGAAAGCAATTCTGAGGAGATTCTGTGAAGCCAGTTATCAACATCCTGCTGATTGATTCATAGATTTCTGAGATTAGGAAAAACCAAATTGCAGTTAGTTTTTAAAAAAAATATCCATCTGAGAGACAGAAGTTTTCTGTTATGTCTTGAAGAAACCCGATGACACTGAACGACCACAGGCTCCAGTTTCAACAGTTAAGATTTTAACTCCTCTGGACTGAGGAACCTTGAACGGTCTACGGATTAGTGAGTCCACTGTCGGTCCCTGAAGTGTTCGGGTTACAATCTACAATCTGAACATTAGATGCCAATATTTCTCAACATTTTTAACAAAAGCCTCCTCAGCTTTTTTTTTTTTTTGGTGTCTGAATTTACAGATGGTATTGAGTTCCCAGACTCCTCACAGCCACAGCAGCAGACAAGGTCCCAGCAGAAAACCAGAAGTGCAGCAACTGTGTCAGTTCAAACTCCAGCCTGTCAGGAGTGAAAGTGAAACCAGGCTGATGT